CGGGAAGCAGTTCGTCAGATTGCAAGGTACTTTGTCAAGTCTCGTGGGCAAAATTCGACTGTGGTTAGCACCCGGTCTTATTGACTCTTCTGGACAAGATTTTAATTGTTAATTGGGATTTATAAATTAAATTAATTGTTGGGTTTTATTAAATTAATTTAATTACTGGTTAGATAAAATTGCTAGAAAATCCTGTGGTCCGACACCCGGGAAATATTAGTTAACCTTGAGACGTAGGTGGTGTTAAGATAATTACGCGCCATTTTATAGTCAGCGTTATAAATTAATTTAATTAATTATTGAGAAATTCCGGTTGAGTAAAATTAAATAATTATTAATAATATTCGGTTAATTAAATTTAATTTATGGATCGTTTATTGTAAAATTTTATAAGAAAGTGGTGAAATAGTTTTGTTACTACGCAGTAAGTTTTAATTGCGAGTCTAAAATTCACAAGGTCACGTTTACTGGCGTCATATTTATTCTATTGTGTTGAAAATAGTCACCGGACAATTTCGTCAATTTGGCTAGATGATTTATAATTAATTTCAATAAGTGACGGTTGGGTTATGAGTGATAGAGAGTGGAATCGTGAGTGAATAGCTTCTGAGATATGGTACGATCTTCCCTCTAGATCAGGAGTCATTATAAAATTGGTTATTGGTAATTCGGATATTGGTAAAGGAAAAGTGGAGGTCATGTGGTCCTCGTACCCGTGAATTATGGTACGGTTTCCCCTCTGTTTCGCGGGTATTAGTTAAGTAATTTTATTATGGAAAATTTGGCAATAGAATTTATAGAGTGCGTGTGAGTGTGATATTGTTGAATAAATAATTGGTAACCACGAATTATTGATTTTATTCATTTCCAGTTATTTTCCTAAATCTCTCTACCCTGTAGATTATCTCTCATGTCTCTTACGGTTTCCAGGATACCGTTGTAACAACCTGGTGGCGCCTTAAATTTAATATCTTGTATAATAGTCTCATGGTATTTGGAGTTATCATCTAATTAATAATTTAGGCTGCTATTGAACGGCGGAAATAAAACTCCCCGTTACAATCTTTCGTATGTTTTATTCGTAGTCAGTTAATCGGATGCCGGCTTTTGATTTCTTTGATGGCGTTGCTGGGCTTTGTCCGTGTATTGTTGATATGTTGTGTTGGTATCTCGTTGCTCTAGGTGATGATGACGAGGTTGAGTCGGTTGTATTGGTATTTGAAAGTTCGAATGTTTCATTGAATTTTCCTTCAGTTTGTTTTTGTTTCTTCTTCTTGATTTTTCGTAGGAGTTTTAGGCAGTTGCAGGAGCAGCCGCAGTAGTAATAGCTGAGGAAGAATGTAAGGGACGTAATGATTGAGAGTATTGCTCCTGTGTTTGCTACGGTGATGAGTCGATGTTTTGATTCTTCTTGATGGTGAAGTCCGATTTGTGTGAGTCTATTGTTGTTTCCTTCGAGGCTATCGCCCCATGGTGAGAGTAAGGTGTTTTCTGCTATCGGTTCTACGGCGATATTTGTTCGTAGATGTGGTGGCTTGGGCTGTTCAGTGAGGTTCGTCGCTAGGGGTGTTAAATTTATACCGGGGAAAGCGTAGATTCCGCTTGTTTCTTCCTCTTCTTCGGTCCCTTTGACTATGAGACGATTATTCGTTAAGACACAGCCGGGTGATAAGGTGAAGGTACCGGAGCCGTGTAGTTCGTGTTCAATCCGAGGAGTCGTGTCACAAGTTGTTATGAAAATTTCTGGTTTGCAGGTAGAGTAAGCCCAGGAGTTCGGTTGTTGTAGTTTGAATAGCTGTGTAGAGCATTTTGGTAGTATGCAAACATCACATTGGTGTAGAGTTTCATTGGTTGGATTTAGGTAAAGTTGGAGTTCGCATTCGGTGCTGTCTTTTACTGGTTGGAGCGGTATGTTGGTTTCACAGGCTAGATCTGTTGAAATAATTCTACAACCTTTTATGGTTTCTGAGTCTACTAGATAATATTGATTTTGGAAGGCGTCTATGGCTAGATACTCTTTACTCGGCCGTACTAGTAGGCTTCTCATGGTTCCTCCGATTGTTTGTGGTACTGGAACTGGTCTTATTCGGTATAATTGAAAGGTAATTTGGTTAAACAGTGGGAGAGTGATTAAGATTAGGAACTTATTTCCTATTCTTCCTGTGTTTACTTTGGCGACGTTGGAGAGAGTCTGGATATTTATGTGGTCTACTGGTTGAGGAAGATTTAAGTGTGGGAAGCGAGTCATGATATCTCTGGTTGCGTTTTTCAGTTGTTCGGGTGATAGAATTCTTCCCGGGATGTTTCCTCTCTTTGTATCTTCTATAGCTGACTCGGCTTCTTTGAGGTAGCGTATCAATTTCGTTGTTCTTTGGACTCTTTCGTCGGCTCTTTGCATGAAGTGTATGCGTAATTTCAATTTTTCAATTTCACTTCCGACTTGTGTTGCGTAGCGGTTGATGGTGTCGGATAGTAATGTGACTCTTGCTTTGGTTTTATTTTGGTCAGAGATGACTTTGTTTATTTCTGATTTTATTATGTGAGTTGAGTTGTTCATCAGTGTTGTTATTTCTCTTTGATCGTTGTATAGTTTGTCGATTTCTGTGGAGATGTGTTCGTGGTCGTCGTAGTCCATGAGTCCGAAGGCCTTTCGTGCTATGGAGCCTACGAATCCAAACCAAGGCGTCCTTCGATTGCGAATTTTTGGGATGTTTTCGACTTGTTTAAGATTTTGTTTTAGTCGATTAACTACGTCTTGTCTGTCTTTTTCTAGTTCTTTTAATATAGCTTCCTTTCCTAAGATTGCGCACTCGAAGAGGGGGGAAGTAGGACAGGCAAGTTTTGCGACTTTCACGATCGTCTGGTGACGTCATCTCTTGCCAGGGGGATACGTTGATAATGGCTCCGATGTCTATGGTGGAGATGATTTTCCATTGTCGTTCTATGAGATGAATTGTGTTACCGCTTCTAACAGCGGTTTTTCTGTAACAGGAGTGTATTATATTTTATTCGATGGCTCGTTTTAATTTACTAGGGTGTTTAATTAAACGTTTTCCGTTTGGGAGTTCTAATATTAAACACCCTTTGTCGGTGATGTCTACGATTTCGAAAGGGCCTTTATAATACACGTCAAGTTTATTTTTGCGAGTTTCATTTAGGTTATATACAAAATCTCCTATTTGGAAGTCTATGGGGTGTAAGTTTTTGTCGAATCTTTCTTTGGATCTTAATTTTGACTCGACTAGTGAATCGCGGGCGACGCTGCGAGTATGGCTTAGGCGGTTCATTAAGTCCACTAAGTAGTCGGGATATGTTTCGATTTTTTCGTAGTCCGGGAATTCAGTTGGAGCACGTGCCTTTTTCCCGTATACTAACTCGTACGGGGTGAATTTTGTCCCAGTGTGGACCAAGGTGTTGTAGTTGAACATGGCCATTGGTAGATATTCGTCCCAGTCTGAGTATGATTCGACGAAAACTCGGAGGTATTCAACAAGAGTTTGATGACTTCTCTCCAGAGATCCATTGGCTTGAGGGTAGTAGCCAGAGGTGGTTACTCTCCTTATTTTTAGAATTTCTGACATTTTTGCCAGTAGTTTGGAGGTGAATGACGTTCCTCTGTCTGATAGGATTGTTCTGGGGCATCCGTATAGGCAGATGTACTGGGTGATCAGGGCTTCTGCGACGGTTTGTGTCCTGATGTCTGGTACTGCTATGGCTGCGCAGTGTTTTGTGAAATTATCTTGTATGGTGAGAATATGTACGTTGCCTTTTGCCGTCATAGGTAGTGGTCCTACGGTGTCTATCGAAATTTTTTCGAAGGCGTCGGATGGTGTGTCAGTTATAACCATGGGTTGTTTAGTTTTTATTCGAGATAATTTCTTTTGTTGGCATGTGTCGTATCTCAGGATGTATTGATAGATTTGTTCTTCATTCCGGGCCAATAAAATTTTTCTCTTATCCTCCAATATGTTTTGAGGACTCCTTTGTGTCCTCCGATAAGGCTTGCGTGTTTTTCTTTGATGATCTCAGGTCGCAGTTCCTCGGATGGAATGGAGATTTCGCCGTCACAGAGAGTTATCTGTACGGGGCAGTCTCGGAGTTCTTTTAATAGGTGAGGTTGTATGTTGATAGTTCCGAGTCCGTCTCCTTTTTGAGCCATTCTTATGGAGTGTATCTCGTATCGTTCTAAGGCGAGGCGGAAGCTTTGAAGTCCGTTTATTAGGTCTTCGGTTGATATTTTTGTTCGGTGATACTCGCCGGTAAAGATAGTGAAGATCCGATATTTGCCAATTTTTGTCACCAGGACGTCTCCTTTGCGTGGTTTGGCTTGTTTCAGATCGTCTGTGTCGATGAATTTAAGATCTCGAAGTAGTTTCGCTGTGGGAGTGGAGAGTTCACAATCTGTAGTAAGGAAGTGAGCGATGTTATCTCGAGCGTATGTGAGTCCATCTCGGCTGGCTATTAGTTCTACTACTCTTAATTCATCAGGTTTATCTTGTGCTGGTTCTATTGGCTCAGTAGATTTTTCCATCCCCCCCTCTAGGGTTTTGTCTAGGGGTAGGTTATTATTTGGGTCTATGTCCTCTTCGGAAGATGTTTCTGGAGGTCCTAGGATGGTTGTTGCTTTTCTCTCGGGTTTGTGAGATTTTATTGACGCGGTAGAGTCGTTGGTTGTTGGTGTATTTGTACTTTTTGGATTTTTTTGAGGCGTCAAGGTTACAGATGTTTCTAGAGAAGTCGTGTCTTCTTCGTTAGGTTGCACTGGGGGTAGAGGTAGGTTATCCCTGTCTTCTGGTGTTTGAGGTGCTGGATCTAGGAAGGAGACTCTTTTCTTTGACTTCTCGGTAGTGTCGGGCGCTGCAGTAGAAGTTGTGGCTACAGGAGACCCGACATCTAAAAATCGGCTAGAGCTCGCACCAGGTGAGTCTGTGGTATTCATGGTTGGTAATTCTGACAATCTGGTTCTCATTTGAGTAATCACAGATTGGTCTGGTATGGGTCTGTAAGGCGTTGACCCTTGATGATCGCTGGTGTCGATCACAGATCCTGTTACTGGGTCCCATTTGATCCCTTTTGCTTCAAAGTTTTCGATCATTGTGCGGACTAGTGTTGGTGTTTCCGGGGCTAGCCGGATCGTGGTTTCAGTAACATCGGATCCAGGTGTGAGGTCATCTGTGGGAGGTCTATCTTTATCGAGTTCAGGGCTTTCGGTTGTAGATTGGGCTAGTATTATTGTGTCGTCTGGCTCGCTGATAGCGCTGGTACTATCTTGGTCCTCGTTAGCTTCCTCGGAGACAAATTCGTTTACGGCTATTTCAGCTTCTTCGCTGGCTTCTCCGGGGTCTTCTTGTTCGTTGAGAGTTTTCTCCATTGATCTTATTTGTTGGAAATTTTCGATAGATCTTTTTACTTCCTTTATTACGTTAGGACTTGGTATTGGTACTGGTCGCCACCAGTTAGAATTTCCCTTGGGTATTGTTGGGGATAAGGGAGGACGGGACGGGGTGTGATTTTGATCTTCTGATAATTCTTTGAATGTTCTTATGGTGTTGTGAACATTGGGTGTGGTCTCTGCTGATGATTCTGTGACTTCTTCAGATGATTTTGTCTGTTGTAGAGCTACGGGGGTCTCTTCTTCTTCTTCTTTATCTCCGTCGTCGCCGGAGTCGAAATAGGCCGGGGGAGTTAGTTCCCTAATTGAATCTCTAGCTGGTAGAGATGGGCTAGCTTCCCCCCCTCTAGGCTCTGGAGTGTGGAACACGTCGTCATCTCCAACCCGATCTTGGACTAATCCTTGGACTTCTTCGTCGTTGCTGGAGGTGGCGGGTTCTATGTAATTAATAGGATTTTTGTGAGATCCTCTGCGTAGTTCGGAGCGTAATCTTGAGGCGATTGTTTGTCGAATCTCTGGAGCGCTTTTGAGGGCTGGTCGATTTTTTGAGCCTAAAGGTCGTCCAGGTCTTCGTTTTGGAGGGTCTATGGTGACCTTTTCAACTCCATTTGCGGGTAACAGGATGGCTTCTGGAGTATTTGTTTGGTTACTGATTATTGAGGGTTCGTGTGTCTTCCTTCGCTTGGAGCTCCGGTTTTTCTTCTGGGCGTCCTGTCGGGTTATAGGAGAGTGCATCTGCGTATTGATCTCCGACGTTAGTCCGGATGGCGACCTTGAAATGGAACTCATTGATTTTTGATCGCCATTTTCGTTGTCTGTCTGTGAGATCGTGTGTATCTCGTAGCCAAGCTACGCAGGCTCTTTTTGTTTGGACGGTGAATCTTTTACCGTATAAGTAAGGCCGGAACTGTTGGATGGCGTAGACTACGGCAAGACATTCTTTTTCGTCTGGGATATAGCGTAGTTCTGCATCTCGTAGGATTCTGGATGTACAAGCTACGATTTTTCCATTTTTATTGAGGTCTTCTGTTGAGTCAGTGGAGTCTGTTTCCTGGCTCAGGATACCTGCTATACCTTTTTCCGAAGAACTGACCGCTAAAACGAAGGGCTTGTCGAGATCTGGGTATGAAAGGGTTGAATTTTCACACCAGGCATTTTTGATGTTCTGGATTGCCCTTTCAGCCTCTTCGGACCATTTAAAAGGTTTTGTTTTTCGAGTTAAATCGGTTAACGGTTTAGCTCGAATGGCGTAGTTGTCGATAAACCTGCGATAGTAGTTTGCCAGGCCGAGGAATTTTCTCATCTCTCGTTGATTACGCGGATTCGGAGCGTCTCGGATAGCTTGGATTTTCCTAGGATCAGGTTTCACTCCGTCTCGAGATATTACGTGTCCGAGATAGTCGACTTCTGTGCATAGAAATTTACATTTGTCATCAAATTGTTCATCATCCTTTGGAAGGTGGCTGGGGCTCCTTCTAGTCCGAAGGGCATTCTTTCGTACTCGAAACGCCCGAAAGGGGTGGAGAAGGCTGTTTTGTGGGCGTCTTCAGGGTCCATTTTGATCTGGTGGAATCCACTGGCAAGGTCGAAGACGCTGAAGAGCAGAGAGTCTCCTAGCTGGTCCAAGATGCCGATTATGGAAGGTAGTGGATATGCATCTCCCACGGAGATTTTATTTAAGTCCCTGAAGTCGATTACCATTCTCCATTTCTTTGCCCCTGTTTTAGGGTCTGATTTCTTCGGAACTACCCACACCGGGGAATTAATTATAAGGAGATTTGGAATTTCTTATAATTCCTTGTTCCAATAAATTGTCGATTTGTCGCTGTATTTCATCTTGATGTTGCTTGGGGAACCGGTATTGTTTTACGTATACTGGTTTGTCAGTCGTAGTTGGAATTTTACAAGTCGCTCGGTTTGAGCATCCTAGTTTATCCCCAGGGAGATGAAAGATGTCGGTAAAATCGTGTATTATTTCTGTAATTTGTTCACGTTGTTCTGTGTTAAGATCCTTTAGAGGAAATTTATTTAAAATTTCCGGTGCTCGTTGTTCAATGGTCTTAATATCTGTTGGACGGTCGTCTTGGGAGTCACTGGAGCTGTTGGAAGGATCTTCAACGTGAAATTCATAATCTTCGAGGATTTGTGGCTCCAGTTCAATGGTGACGGGTTCGTTAGTCGTATTAAATACCATACAGGTAGCTGTTTCGCCATCTACAGTGACTAAGGCTTCGCCCATAAACAAGCCTATTGGAAGATCTATTCGCGGTAGATATCCTTGAGTTAACCCCGGATTTTTGATGGGGACTGGAGCTATCATTTTTGTCCTGGGAGGTACGGTGAAGGTAGATGGCTCGTAGATGTCCAGGCTGAAAGGTATAGGTTCTAGCGGTCGAGCCATGATGGTGAGAGTTTGTTCGTAGTACGAGATCTCGGCTTTCTCACGGTCTAGCCAGTCGTTTCCGATTATCCCCACTCCGG